TCCATTTAATAGACAAAGACCAAAAATCAAGACTTGAGGCAGCAATTAATTCGTTTCCGTCCTATTCCAAAGAAGGATTAGGGAGAACACATCTCGTCACTCATAGTATAGACACGGCAGATAACAAACCTATTAAACAGAGACATTTTTCAATATCGCCCGCTGTCGAAAAACTTTTATTTGCAGAAATCGACCGAATGCTCCAATTAGGAGTCATTGCGTTAACAGCGTTACAGTTAAAGATGCTTATCCTTTGCCTCTTATCGATGGAATTCTCAGTCGGCTCCCAAAAGCAAGATTCATTTCGAGTCTTGACTTGAAGGATGCCTTCTGACAAATTCCATTCGATGCAAGGTCAAAGGAGAAGACAGCTTTTCCTGTACCTGGTCGACCTTTGTATCATTTCGTCACTATGCCCTTCGGTTTATGCAACGCGCCACAGACGATGTCCCGACTTATGGACAAAGTAATTCCTGCTCATTTGCGTACTAAAGTCTTTGTTTATTTAGACGATTTGCTCCTTATCACGGAAACTTTAGATGAGCATGTCTTACTATTACATGAAGTAGCAGTTTGTATCAGAAAAGCTAATTTGACAATTAATATAGAAAAGAGTAAATTTCTTCTTAGGCAGGTGAAATATTTAGAACACATCATCGGCCATGGGACCATAAAGACAGACCCGGACAAAGTACAGTCCATCCGTGAATTTCCTTTACCAACATCCGTACGACAACTTAGACGATTTTTAGGTATTTGTGGTTGGTACCGACGTTTTGTCCGAAACTTTGCAACCCTGACGACACCCTTGACGGACATGTTACAGAAGAACAAAAAGTTCATTTGGTCTGACGAAGCAAAATCTTCATTTGAAGAGCTCAAAAACTCCCTTTGTTCTGCACCTGTGCTGCACAACCCAGACTTTTCACGTCCGTTCTCCATCCAGTGTGATGCGAGCCAATATGGGATAGGGGCTGTTCTCGCTCAGAGAAATGACGACATGGACGAAGTACCGATTGCATTTATGAGCCATAAGTTGACACCTGCACAGAAAAACTATACTGTTTCTGAATAGGAATGTCTGGCGGCTGTTATGGCTATCAAAAAGTTTCGTGCCTACGTAGAAAGTCACGAATTTGAAGTCATAACAGACCACGCTTCACTAAAATGGCTCATGAATCAGACTGACTTACATGGACGCTTAGCCCGATGGGCCTTAAAGTTACAAGGCTTTAATTTCACTATACGCCATAGAAAAGGTAGTCAAAACATTGTTCCCGACTCTTTATCGCGAATACATTCTGAAAACAACGACGAAATTTTTATTACAAACTTAGACAAACTGTATGTAGCTGAAATTGAAAACTCTATCGAAATTGATATGCAATCTGACGAATTCAAATCTGCAGAATATCTCTCCTTAATTGAAAAACTAAAGACCAAAAGTAAATATCTTCTAGATTTCAAAATTGTTGATGGTTTCATATATAAGAGGTGTGAATATGCGACAGGCGATGAGTTGCAGGAAGAATTTTCCTGGAAACTTTGGGTCCCTGATTCGATGACAAATGACCTTATTAAAAGAGCTCATGATCACCCGTTGTGTTCACATGGCGGAGTTGGAAAAACGTTAAGTCGACTTAAGACATTTTTCTTCTGGCCAAAAATGGCAAAACAAACAGCAGATTACGTATCCGCTTGTGCAATTTGTAAGCAAACAAAAGCTTCGAACAAATGTCTAAGACCACCTATGGGTCAGCCATCAACATCTGTACGCATTTTTCAAAAACTCTACCTAGATTTGTTAGGGCCTTACCATAGGTCTTCTTAAGGAAACGTAGTCATAATTATAGTGTTGGATCACTTATCCAAATTTCATTTCCTCGAGCCAATAAAAAATTTACATCTAATGTTATTATAGAATTTTTAGAGAAGAGAATTTTCCACATATTTGGTGTCCCGGAGTCAATCACGACTGACAATGGTGTACAATTCAAATCAAACTTGTTCAAAGAATTTATGGAATCGTATGGAGTTTTCCACAATTTTACTGCCATTTATTCGCCTCAGGCAAACGCCAGTGAGCGAGTAAATAGGTCAGTGTTAGTGGCCATTAGAGCTTATGTGAAACCCTCTCAAAAAGATTGGGATGCAAAACTATCCGCAATTAGTTGCGCATTACGAAGTTCAGTACACATCAGCACAGGATATTCCCCTTATTTCCTATTATTCGGCCAAAATATGCTAACAAATGGCAAATCTCTTATTCTCTATTGCGAAATCTGAATATTTTAGAAACACCTGTAGACTTAAAACATGATGAAAAATTAGAGCTCTTGAGGGAAAAGGCGCGGGAGAACATACGTAAATCCTATGACACAAACGTAAAATACTACAATCTTAGATCTCGACCAATAAGTTTTGATATCGGCCAAATTGTTTATAGACGAAACTTTTCACAGTCTAAAGCAGCTGAACACTATAATAGTAAACTAGCAAATCAATTTGAGAAAGCCAGAGTTAAAGCTAAACATGGTACGTGTTATTATGAATTGGAGGACATGAAAGGCAAGCCTTTAAGGAAATTTCATGCCAAGGACATTAGATCCTGATTACACCTTATAAATCTGTATTATACAAAATTGTTTTCGAAAATCATTTTTAATAAAAATTTTTCAAATAGTTAAGTAATATTCAAGTTTGCATTTTAATAACACCAATTTAAACTACATATAACATCCAATTTCGAAAAATATAACAAAATATCACCAAGTAATTAATATTGCACGAATTTTATTTCTAATAACTAGTTTTCATTCAAACATTTTAATTTTTTTTTAAATTGTTGTCTTCAGCTTATGTTTCCCTTTTTGGAAGAACTCGGGATCAAAAGCAAAAATTACTCGTTCGAATTTAGTGTTCCAAAATCTATATGTAAAGGTTCGTTGTCTCTCATTCACAAAATTAAGTTTTTCCCTATTTTTTTCAAATTAATATTTCACAACAAAAGAAATACGATTTTAATCTTCAAAAATTTTACAGTTGTTTACTTTTTTTTTTAATTTTTCAATTACAAAAAAAAAAAACTAAAATAAAAATCAATGCTAACTCAGTCAATAACAAAACAGTTTCCCAAGGTGAATTTTAAATAAAATTATTAAAACATTCGAAAAGTCGCAATCACAAAGCTGATTAAATACAAACTTTGATGCTGAGTTTAATTTGAAAAAAGCATGTAAATAAAATAAAAAAAAAAACAAGTAAGTAGTCTATATTCGCCTTTACCGAATCTTATACACCCTTCACCATAGTGTACATATTTAAAAAATATTAATTTTATAAAATTTCAACTTATTTCATTTTCACGACTTTCATTACTTTACTAAGGCGCAATTTACATTAAGACTTTTCAGACGTCTGTTTTTTCCAATTCTCTTTTGAGAATCTTCCAAAATATCATGAACATTTGTACGGTGATTTTTTACATGCTACTTTTCATGTCTTTTTTGATGTTTAGTGTAAATTGTTAGGTCACCGTATAATAATTACTAACATTATTATTTTGTTTTGTTTAAATTTTCCATTTTTATTGTATTTAAATTTATTCATATTTTTGGCTCACTGTTGCCACTGTAATTTGTCATTATTTGTTGCTCATACTAACCACTGTACATATTTTTGGTAATGAACCGTTAGTTTTTATTATTTGTTTCTCACTCCAATTCTTATTATAAGCATATTGTTGTTGCTCTTAAAAATGCAATTTCTTATTTAGGAGACTTATTGCATGTATTTTGTTTTTGCATATTTTGAATATAAATAAACAAGTTGAGTTGGTACATTGGAAGTGAGAAACAAATAATATTACAATAACAACAGTGTAGCCCTTATTTACATGATCAATTGTTAGGCTTAAGAAAAGAATTTTTAAATAAATAAATCATTGTCATAGTTGAAGTCAATCGAAAAACATCGCTCTTTTTATTTGTCGGTACCACGGTCGTAATTTCTTTTGTTTTATAGATAATCACTGCCCATAGAACAATTTCAGCAACCTATAGACAACAATTCAAAGTAAACCGAATTGCTCTATAACGTTGCCGGTGAAGAAAAAGCTCTTCATCGTACATTTTGGCGCCCAACGTGGGGCAAGTGATTAATCTAAATCTTACTAAATTTGTCGTTCTCGGTCCGTGGTATATTCTAAAATTGTCGTTGAAGTACAACTTAAAGTAAAAGTGTACGGTCGTATTGTGAAGTGGAAATTGTGGTTCTATGATAAAAGCAATATCTAGTGCTACAGAAATAAAAAAAGCTTTGTGGTTCAAATAAAAAACTTTTGTGCAACAAAAATAAAAAATTAAACATTAAAAAAAAACTCTGAGAAAACATATAAAAAAACTATTCGAAAAATCAAGAGACAGTGCAACATGTATAAAAAACTGTTAAAAAAATTTTTGGTGACGCACCTATTACAAATCTATTTAAAAAAAACCTATTACAAACATTATAAAAATTTTGTCGGCTCAATACATAAGAACAGTTTTTGTGGAAAAATAAAATAGTGACTCTAAAATTTTACCGCAAATTTTTATATACAAGAAAATACATAAATTTGTTCGCTCTTGGTTCCAGTATATAATATAAAATTCTGTGTATATTTAATTTGTCGCTCGGAATATTGCGTGTCATCCATTTTGTAAATACTTTTGGACATTTTTGGCTCATCTAACCTTACTTATTGAAAATTTATGATGACTCTGGAGGAGGTTAAGCAGCAACGGGCTAACACTAAGAAGAGCATTACCCGCATCAAGAACCAAATCGAAGCCAATGGAAGGGGAGAAGGTAAGACACTTTCGTCAGCCGAATTGAAGTGCCGTTTGGGGATTTTGGAGTCGTATTTTAAGTAGATACTGACGTATCAAACCCAAATTGAAAAATACGATCCCGAGGACAATGCTAGGCCCGAAATCGAGGATTTGTACATCTCAGCCAAAATGAATATCCAGTCGCAGCTTGGTGAAGATGTTCATAATACAACATTGTCCGAGTCCACCATTTGTTTCCCAGCTCCCAGCCACAAATTGCCTCAGCTGAAATTGCCCACATTTAGTGGTAAGTACAGTGAGTACAAAAATTTCATTACGTCGTTCAATCAAGTTATCGATCGCGAGTTTGGCCTATCAAATATTGAAAAGTTTAATCATTTACTCAACTGCCTCCAAGGCCAAGCTCTAGAAACGGTCAAGGCTTTCCAGATTACGAACGAAAATTACCCGAAGGCTCTGGAAAGGCTCAAAACGCGTTATGATAATAGCTCGCTTATTTTTATGGAAAATATTACCGTCCTTTTTGAACTTCCTGCCATGTCCAAATACAATTGTGCCCAATTACGAAGTCTCGTCGATAATGTTTCTGCCCTTTATAGTTCCTTACTGTCTCTTGGCTCACATAGTGATATTGCTAATTCCATGCTGATTTACATAGTGATGGAAAAAGTGGATGAAGGTACCAGAAGAAAGTGGAAAGATTCCTTGGACTTTACCAGATTGCCAACATGGGATGTTTGCTCCAAGGTCCTTGAAAGGCGTTGTCAATTTTTGGAATCGGTTGATACCAACCATACTTTTGTGGCCCCTCGTAAGCCTGATCATCAATCTGGTAAGTCCAAATCTAAAAATTCAAAACCTGGCTATACTTTTTCGGTATCAAAACGCTCTTGTGTGCTTTGCTCCAAATCTGACCACTCAATTAGTCGTTGTTCTCGGTTCAAAGATATGGATGTTAGTCAAAGGTATGAAAATGCAAAACGTCTAAGCCTTTGTCTAAATTGTTTGTCCAAAGGGCATCAAGTAAGTAGTTGTTCCTCCACATTCAAGTGCAAATTTTGTTCTCGCTCGCATCATAGTTTGCTTCATCGGTCTCAGCCAGCTTCTCGGCCCTCGTCCCCTGCTGCTGAACCTACTACTTCTCATGTTGCCTTGAATGAATCTTCTGCCTCGGTCCATACCCATATGGAAAAATCCTCGCCGGAACAGGTGCTGCTTGCTACTGCCATGGTTCTAGTTCGTGACTCCACTGGTCGCTATCAATTGGGACGCGCTTTGTTAGATTCTTGCTCTCAATTGAATTTCATAACCGATGAATTTTCCCAAAAATTACATTTGCCTCGTACAAAACAAACTACTGAAGTCTCTAGCATTGGTAACACTCTTAGCAAATCTAAATATAGGTCGTCCACAAATGTAAAATCTCGAGTCACAGATTTTGAAGTTTCGCTCTCATTTTGTGTCACACCTCATATTTCATATCAACCTGATAATGAATTAGATGTCTCATCCTGGAATTTGCCCCCAAATACTGAACTTGCGGATGAAAACTTCTTCAAATCAAAACGAATTGATTTACTTATTGGTACTGAAACGTTTTTCGACATTTTAGCAGTTGGTCAAATAAAACTTGGCCCTAATTTGCCTAAATTACACAAAACACTTTTCGGATGGATTGTAGCAGGTCGTTATGTATCAAAACAACCCAATATTTGTGGCTCTTCTTGTATGCTCTCGATAGAAGAAGATATTGATCTTAAATTACAGCGCTTGTGGGAAATCGATGAAGTTCAATCTGGCTCAAATGATTTGACACCAGAACAATCTGAATGTGAAACATTTTTCAATGATACTGTTCATCGTGAATCTTCTGGTAGGATTGTTGTTAAATTGCCCTTCAAGGAATCTCCTGACGCTTTAGGTCTTTCTCGAAATATGGCTCTTAAAAGATTTGTATCTCAAGAGAGACGATTTGCTCGTGACAGCAATCTTAAATCACAATATGTTGCTTTTATGAAGGAGTATGAAGATTTTGGACATATGAGTCTAGTTCGTAGCCCTCGTCTACACGAGCCTCATTATTTCATCCCTCACCATTGCGTTTTCAAACCAAGTAGCACTTCCACAAAGTTAAGAGTTGTTTTCGATGCCTCGTGTCCATCATCGTCCCAGAAGTCTCTCAATGATCTTCTTATGGTTGGCCCAACAATTCAAGATGAGCTGTATAAAATTTTACTTCGGTTCCGTCTTCATCGCTTCGCTCTTACTGCCGATATAGTAAAAATGTATCGACAAGTCCTTATTGACTCCCAAGATAGAAAATTCCAATATATTTTGTGGAGAAATTCAGAAGAGGAAGAAATTCGAACATATCACCTAAATACAGTCACCTATGGAATGTCAGCTGAGCCCTACCTTGCCATCAAAAGCCTTCACTATCTCGCAGACCAATACATTGACCAATTCGAACTTGGTGCAAAAACCATTAAGTCATCATTTTACGATGATGATTTTCTTTGTGGCTCAGATACGCTTGAAGAATTGTCTCGTATGAAGCAGGAGGTTAATGAAATTCTAATTCATGGTTCGTTTCAATTAGATAAGTGGCACTCTAATCATAGAGATTTTCAGGACGACAAAACTGTCAAAGACCTTAATATTGAAGATTCTGCAGTAACTAGCGCTCTTGGTATCTCTTGGGACCAGTGATGCCAGGAGATATTTTTCAAAAATCCCTACGCTTATGAGAAAAAATCCCTTTTTTCCCTACATCCACTTTTTATTTTTCTACATTTTTCCCCTATACTACTTTTTCCATTTTTGCATGTTTATTTAAAAAAATAATAATAAAATAAAAAGCTAAAAAATTAAATCTTTTTTAGTAGTTTTGGAATTTAATTTCTAAAATTTCCATTTTAAAGTTTTATTTTTTACTTTCAATTTTACATCATACAAATCTTCCAACCCTGACCCAGTTAACAATTGCAGTATCTTGATACGTCATTCGATGTAAAAAAATTATTTTGTGTGCTAATTACATTACCAAATATCTTGGCTGCCCCTAAAAATAATATTTTCATATAATTATTAATTAATATAATTAAATAAAGCCTACTTTTATAAATTTTCAAAACTCTGAATTCAAAAAATTAATTAAAAATAAAAATTAAGACGGACATCGCCAAATCGACTTCGCTATCTATAAGAAGTCATAATATATCGCTCTATAAGACTAACATAATCGATGATATTTGCCTTTTTTTAATAACTTTTAAAGAAATCAAGGAATTTTAAAAATCCAGATTCAGATAGCTGGGGTTAATTTTTTCTCATCTTAATTGAAATTTAATTTGTATCTATCTAATATTCCTGAAAAAATCTATTTATTTGCTAAAAACTATGAAATTGAAAAAATCCCTATAATTTCACAAAAGTGCGAAATCTTTCCCTTTTTCCCTACATAACAAAATTTTGAAAAAAATCCCTACAAAAAGGGAAAAATCCCTACACTTGGCAACACTGCTTGGGACCAACAAAAAGATGTTTTCTTATTTTTGTTTTCGCCTAAAGTCCAAATTGATGAAAAAATAACCAAACGTACAATTTTGTCGCTCTCGTCAGCGCTTTTCGATCCCCTAGGACTTTTATCCCCTCTCATAATAAAAGCTAAAATCATCATGCAAAAAATTGGCCGGGATGAGTCTGTACCTCAAGAAATACACTCGGCTTGGAAATCTTTCGTCTCTGATCTCAAACTATTACCTTCACTTAAAATTCCTCGTTTTTGTCTCGCTCCTGATTCTAAATCAGTTCAACTTCATGGCTTTTGTGACTCATCAATTCGTGCTTATGTTTGTTGTTTTTACTTTCGTGTTAAAACTTCTTCAGGAAATGTTGTTGTTCGGCTCTTTACTGCCAAATCTAGAGTTGCTCCTACAAAGCGAAAATCGTTACCCAAACTTGAGTTATGTGGCGCACAACTTCTAGCAAAATTGTATTCCAAAATCAAAAATCTTTTCGCAATACCAAATCTGGAAGTCGTTCTGTGGACAGATTCGCAACTAGTTCTTCACTGGCTAAAGCAACATTCATCTACTTTGTCAGTTTTTGTTGGCAATAGGGTATCAGAAATTCAAGATCTAACTAATGGCTGCGTTTGGCGACATGTCCCAACCCAGTTCAACCCTGCTGACATCGTTTCTCGTGGTTCAACTGTGCAGGAACTCGCCTCATCCATCTGGTTCAACGGACCAGCATTTCTCGCTCTCGATCCTGTTCAGTGGCCCCCTACTAAAACTGATAAACTCTCCGAAGAAAATCAGCAAGTATTCGACAAAGAAAAACGGAAAACCGTACTTCATCTTGAAACAAAATCTAACTACATCCTCGATTCTGTTGGAAAATATAGCTCGTACTTAAAAATCATTCGTATTATTGCCTGGATGTTTCGTTTTGCTCAAAAAACAAAAACTAATATTTCCAATTCTGACTCTTTGCAGCCCCAAGAATTAGAAAATGCTAAACTTTGTATCGTTTTCAACATCCAGAAACTACATTTTCAAGATGACATAACTCGAGCTCTAAAGAAGAAAGATCCCCAAGGTGCTCTAAAGTGTCTGAACCCCTTCCTAGATTCGTCAAATGGTTTCAATTTGCTCAAGGTCGGCGGACGCTTGGAGTACGCGGCAATTTCTGAAGGCCAAAGACACCCCATAATCTTGCCCAGCAAATGCCATTTCGTCCACTGTTACGTACGTCATCTGCACATCAGTAACTACCACGCTGGACCCAAGGCTCTAATGTCATTGATTCGCCAACAATTTTGGATCATCAACTCCAGGAATTTGTGTCGCAGCATTGTAAATTCGTGCCCTCAATGCATTCGCTATCGCCCAAAGTTGTTGCAACAAATGATGGGAAATTTGCCTGTGGAACGACTCAACCCATCAAGGCCCTTCGCAAGGTGTGCTGTCGATTTTTGTGGTCCAGTCAACACCTACCTAAGAATTAGAGGAAAGGTCCCCTACAAGACATACATCGCTATATTTGTTTGTCTCGCTACCAAAGCTGTCCATATTGAAGTGGTATCCGACCTGTCAACAGATGCCTTCATTGCTGCCCTAAAACGGATGATTGGTCGTAGAGGTCTGCCCACAGATATATTCTGTGATAATGCAACAAATTTCGTTGGTGCAAACTCTAAGTTGGCTCAATTAAAGTCGTTCCTTTTTGAGCCAAAAAATTCAAATTTTATTACAAATTATTGCTCGAATCAATTTATTAATTTTCGATTTATTCCCCCTAGGGCACCACATTTTGGCGGATTGTGGGAGGCGGCCGTCAAATCGGCCAAAGGTCACTTAACCAGAACCCTGGACAACACAAGGCTCACCTACGAAGAACTCGCAACGGCTATGATTGAGATAGAGGCAGTTTTAACTCGAGGCCCATTTCGCCTCTATCCTCAGATCCCAGTGATTTTGAAGCTCTTACACCAGGACACTTCTTGATAGGCGCTCCCCTCCGTAGTTTGCCAGAACGTGATGTCCCTACAAATGAGATTAACAAACTTGAATATTGGGCCCGAATAAGCGCCATCAAGCAACAATTCTGGAAAAAATGGTCCCATGATTATATAAATGAGCTCCAGACTCGCAACAAATGGACTAGCACCAACTCTAATATTACCCCTGGTTCCCTAGTCATCATCAAAGAAGATAATTTACCCCCGCAGCGTTGGCTCATGGGTAAAATCATCAACATTGTTCGTGGAAGAGATTATCGTGTTCGAGTTGTCGACATCAAAACTACAAAAGGAGTTATACGTCGCCCTATCCACAGACTAGCTCTTCTATCTTCTTGAAAGTGTCCTTTCAATGGGGCCGGAATGTTAGGTCACCGTATAATAATTACTAACATTATTATTTTGTTTTGTTTAAATTTTCCATTTTTTATTGTATTTAAATTTATTCATATTTTTGGCTCACTGTTGCCACTGTAATTTGTCATTATTTTTTGTTCATACTAACCACTGTACATATTTTTGGTAATGACCCGTTAGTTTTTATTATTTGTTTCTCACTCCAATTCTTATTATAAGCATATTGTTGTTGCTCTTAAAAATGCAATTTCTTATTTTGGAGACTTATTGCATGTATTTTGTTTTTGCATATTTTTAATATAAATAAACAAGTTGAGTTGGTACATTGGAAGTGAGAAACAAATAATATTACAATAACAACAGTGTAGCCCTTATTTACATGATCAATTGTTAGGCTTAAGAAAGGAATTTTTAAATAAATAAATCATTGTCATAGTTGAATTCAATCGAACAACATCATCTTTTATTCTTGTCTCGGTACCACGGTAGTTCTTTTGTGTTTGTTAATTAATCACTGCCCATCGAACATTTCAGCAACCTATAGACAACAATTCAAAGTAGACCGAATTGCTCTATATCGTTGCCGGTGAAGAAAAAGCTCTTCATCGTATATGAATCATTTAAATGAACCCTTCAAAGATTTATCGCGTCATAATATAAAAGAAGAAAAACAACGTTTATTTGAAGGTATTCCTTCCGATCACTTGATATTCTTGCGTCTGTATCAAGAATGGAAAAATAACTTTAGAAATGAGGAATTGGTTTTTGATTTTAATATAATTTCATTTTGAATGGCCTGTGGAACAGGACTGCAATATCCGTACTCAATTGGTTGGATCCTTAAGATCATCACAATTAATATATAGCAAAGTTGATCTTAGTATGCATTATATAAATATCAAATCGAATTGTTCTGTCATTAAAGCCGCCCTTGTTGGTGGGATGTATCCTAATATATGCGTATTGGATTCTAAGGTTAATCGTATTAAATCACCCTGCAGAAGAGAAATGGTTTTACATCCAAATTCTGTTTTGCGACATAGGATTTATGTGTTCGTTGAATTCTGGTTCACCGTGGATAGTGTACGGAAAAGAAAAAAATGGTTCCAGTTGTAATGGTGTCGAATGTAATACTGTTACTACAGATGATTTTTTTGCAGGTGAGTTTAGTAGACTAATAATAATATCCGAGGAAAATTTTAATTAGTTAAACAACTATGTACGTAAAATTCATAATTATTCTGACTCACCTTTAATCTGTTAAAATATTTTTGTACAGGATGTAGGTATGAAACCAGCAGCTAACTATCCATTCTCCTTCTCTCAATCTATATATAAAAGGCTTGCGTGACTGATTGACTGACTGATTCATCATCGCCCAGCCCAAACCGTTAAAGCTAGAATCATGAAATTTTGGTTATAGGTTCCTTTGGCATTGTATAGATCCACTAAGAAGGGATTACGTTTAGGGGAAGAAATGGGTAAAAAAGGATAAAATTAGTATCCTTTATATCTCCTAAAGAAGCAAAGATATAAATAAAATTCCAAATGTATCCTCTATTATACAAAAAAATAATTGATAGGTGTCTGGTACTTTTTTTAAAAATCTAGACTTTATAGAGCTAAAAGGGTAAAAACTGTCCCCATAGAACCTTCTCTTAACCTATTTATGTTCGAAACAAATGACCATGCAAATAAAACTTTAAAATTATCCTATTATAATTAAAGTCTATTAGAAATCCTTTCGGTACTTTTTAGAAATTCGGGTAATGAAGGGATGAAAACGGTGTCTAAAATTGGCTTGCTGCCCGCTACTTCGTTAGCGATAAATTTTTGGCATTAATTAAATTTTGAAAACAACACATTAAACGATTTTTTAATTAATATGGAATATACATATGTAAATAATTTTCACATATGTAATTACTGAAGTTTTGTATTCTCAAAATATCATACAATTTATTAAACTTATTTTTATCACTTCATATCACCTTTTTACTCTAATTTAAATAAATTCATTTCCATCAACATCCGAGATTTTGGATTAACAGGACAGAGCTACGTGCAACTTTGTGGCTTTGCCTCCGTAAAAAATACATAACTAAAACGGCCCTAACTAAAAAAAATTCAAAATCGACATTTTCATTTTCTGATGTATTACATCAAGCCAAATGTTCAAAAGGGCCCTATCTTCAAAAGCAGTTTTATATAAAGGCTAAAAGACGTAACTAATCATTTGTAAATACAAATTGTAAATTGTCAAAACAACTGAGAAATTTACCGTTAAAAAATGTCTTTTGAAGAAAAACAAATCGCGCTGATTGAAACTAAACTTTCCATTTTAAATAGTTTTTTGCTTCTCCTGTAGAATTTAAAAAAATGTTAAATAGGGATTTTTGCGTTTTATGTGACGATATATGTATAAAAACAAATTATATTGTTTCTATCATATGTCGTGTGCACCCTGTAATAGACCTACTGAATAGAAGAAGAAGAAGAAACTTAAACAGGTGGCAACACAATGAAAAAGGGATTTTTTTTTGGAAAGAAGAAGATGAATAAAAACAAAAACAAATAGCTTTTAAAAAAAATCATCATAAAGAAAAAACTAAATTTTTGATTTTATTTTTTTATATAAATTAAATCAATTTTATTTAAAAAAAGAATTAATTAAACTTAAAGCTAAACTTAAAACTGAGTGCAGAAGATTTCATTTTTCGAGTAGACGTTCTAAGACAGGACTACAACTGCGCGTTCAATGACGTCCTACGAGGTTTTCATCATCTGCTAGAAGGCCAGGCGCTGGACTGGTATTGGAACCTACGTAAGTTAAGGCCAATACAGTCCTGGGATGAGTTGGTGGGAGCATTCCTTACCCAGTTCCGAAGATTTGAGAACGAGTTCCAGTTACAAAAACAAATTATGGATCGTCGCCAAATGCCGATGGAAAGCTTTGAAAGTTTTTACAATGGTGTGATGAAGCTAAGAAATCAACAGCGAAATCCCTATTCAGAACGAGATCTAGTGGAGATTATGAAAAGTAATCTAAAGCCGTCATTGTCACATCTACTATTTTCCGTGACCACTTCTAGTCTCAATGAGTTCTGTCAACAGGCGAAAAGAGCTGAAAATTTAATCACCAGTCAGAGGCAGACTTTCCAGTCTAGACAACCCGCCCCAGCTCGAGTCCATGAACTCCAGTTTGGAGATGAAGTGCCAATACCAATCCTCGAAATCGACGCCTTAGCCACTAGTAGCCGGTATATTTGCTGGAATTGTAAGCAGCCAGGCCATAGTTTCGTGGATTGTCCTTCACCTAATAGACGCATATTTTGTTTTAGATGTGGTAGGGATGACGTAGTCACGCCTAAGTGCCCTAAATGTCAGGGAAACCTGAAGGGGAGCGAGTCCCAAACGGGGGAGACTCGTTCAACCCTAGCTTAATCCCGGTTGACCATGGTATCGAACACGTTTAAAATTCTAGTTAATAATGCACGCATAATGCCAGCCGATGAACAACCTAAAGTTCATATAATTAAACCGCTTCATCAAAGAATTCGGGAATACGCTGAAGCAAAATCTAGGATTTTTGGTCAAGTATCGAATAGAATTCAGAAAGCTAGACTTAGGTATAAAATTAGAAAGAAGATCAAGAATGAAATTTTGTCTACGAGTTTGTATGAGGGCAAGGATGCTAGACTTTATCTAAAGATTAATATAAATGGTTGTGAGATTGATGGTCTGTTAGACAGTGGAGCCACGGTGTCTTGCTTAGGTAAGGGCTGCATGGAGTTAGTGGAGGAATCCGGTCTTCAAGTTTTTAAATTTTTGTCCTATGTAAAAACTGCCGATGGCAGTCCACATAGAATTGTTGGACGAGTAAAAACCAAAGTTAATTTTAATAATTGTTCTAATGAAGTGACTCTATATCTAGTACATACTTTAAATAGGCCTCTATTTTTAGGGGTAGATTTTATGAAAAGTTTCGGTCTGTTTCCTAGTATATGTAGCATTACAACTAACGGGGTTAATTTGTGTCCGGAGTCTGAGGAGACGAAGGATGTAACCAAAACCCATATTCTTACTCCTGGGCAAAAGGCGGCATTAGATGTGGTGGTAGCAAAATTCCCGTGTTTCTCAAAGAAGGGACTCGGTCAGACTTCCCTCGAAACCCATACAATCGATACCCGCGACGCGATCCCAGTGAAGGACAGGCATTATCCCGTCTCACCGGCTGTGCAGAAGTTAATGTATGCAGAGCTGGATAGGATGCTTGAGCTTGGGGTCATAGAGCAGAGCGAGAGTCCTTGGAGCCATCCGGTTACTCTCGTCCGTAGGGGCGAGAAGAACCGATTGTGTCTGGACGCTCGTAAGCTAAATGCCCTCACGGTCAAGGACGCCTATCCGCTGCCGCACATCGAAGGTCTGCTCAGTCGGTTAGGGGATACGTTCTTCATATCCAGCGTGGATCTCAAAGACGCGTTCTGGCAGATACCGTTAGATGCATCTAGTAGGGAGAAGACTGCATTCACGGTGCCGGGGCGACCACTTTACCATTTCACGGTCATGCCTTTCGGGTTGTGTAACGCAGCCCAAAGGTTATGTCGTCTGATGGACAAAGTGATCCCTTCAGCACTTCGTGATAGAGTTTTCGTCTATCTAGATGACCTTTTGATAGTATCTCCAGACTTTGAGACTCACCTGGAGTTGCTGGATCGGGTAGCGCATTGCCTGGATTCGGCGGGTCTGACCATCAACGTAGGGAAGTCGAAATTTTTCTTCAAAGAGTTGAAGTACCTAGGGTATATAGTAGGAGGAGGGAAGTTAAAACCTGACCCAGATAAGATCGATACGATTTTAAAATATACCTACCCGAAAACCGCCAAACAGGTCCGAAGCTTCATGGGTGCTACGGGTTGGTATAGGCGCTTCATCCCCGACTACGCTACCATATCAACACCTATTTTTAACACCCTTAAGAAAGGAAAAGGTTTCAACTTTCCGGACGAAGCTAAGGAAGCCTTCGACAAGCTAAAGTCCGCCCTCACAACAGCACCAGTGCTTATGCATCCCGATTTCAACAGGCACTTTTATGTCCAATGCGATGCATCAGACATAGGTTTGGGAGCAGTTCTGCTCCAGAAGGACGAAAACGACGGCGAACATCCAGTAGCCTTCTTCTCTCACAAATTGACCAGTGCACAGAAGAACTACTCGGTTACCGAGAGAGAGTGTTTGGCCGTAGTGATGGCCATTAAGAAATTCCGGCCTTATATAGAACTTTTGCCATTTACAGTCATCACGGACCATAGCAGCCTAAAATGGCTTATGTCCCACAAAGACCTCAGTGGCAGACTAGCCCGATGGAGCTTACATCTACAGGCCTTTACCTTTACCATCGAACACCGGCCCGGATCCAAAAATATCGTTCCCGACACCTTGTCGAGATATGACATGGAGGAAGTATCTGTGGAGGTAAATAATTTAATAGATTTAGAGTCTGAGTATTTCAAAGGTCAAAGTTACCTGGACTTAATCGCCAAAATCAAGGAAAACGCTGAAAGCCTGCCTGATTTGAAGGTCGTGGATGACCTGGTTTATAAGCGGGTCCTCCCATATGACGGGGTGCCGCTAAACGAAGATTTTGCCGACGAAGATTTTGGAAGTTATGGGTTCCACTAGAGCTTACGCAAGAAGTAATTGCGAAGTGCCACAATCCGCCTCAAGCCGCTCATGGAGGTTTTGGTAAAACGCTCCGAAGGTTAAGGGAATATTTCTACTGGCCCAACCAGAATGTTCAGGTCCGATCATTTGTGGCCAAATGCCAAACCTGTCGCGAGACAAAACCCGCGAATTCTATCCTAAGACCACCAATGGGAGCTGAATCTACAACGGAACGACCGTTCCAGAAGATCTTTATAGACTTTTTGGGGCCTTATCCACGGTCAAGAAACGGAAAGGCTTACATATTCATCGTCCTCGACCACCTAACGAAATATGTACTGCTCAGAGCTATACCGAAAGCTAACACGAAAAACGTCATTAAGTTTTTAATATCTGAAGTGTTCCACAAATTTGGTACACCTGAGACGATTTTGTCTGATAATGGCAAGCAGTTTACTAGTAAAGAGTTTCAGGATATGGTAACGAATTTTGGCGTAAAGCATGTAAAAACTGCCACACACTCGCCACAAGCCAACGCTTCGGAACGGGTTAACCAGTCCATCCTGTCCGCAATTCGTTCCTACCTACAGGAGGATCACACTGAGTGGGACAAGTACCTGTCCGAAATTGAATTTTCGCTGCGGTCGTCAGTCCAAACGTCTATTGGGGTTACGCCGTACTTCGCACTGTTCGGTATGAACATGATTTCGCACGGAAGTGTATATAAGCTTGCTAAGAAACTACAATGTCTTCATGATCCGGAAATCGACATAGTACCAAAACCCGTAAAAATGGACTTAGTACGGCACAAAATTCGTGAGAATCTGCACAAAGCATATTTGAAAAACGAGAAGACATACAATACCCGTTGCCGTCAAGTCAAGTTTGTACCAGGTCAAGAGGTTTATCGCCGCAACTTTCAGCAAAGCGATTTCAAAAATAATTTTAATGCTAAACTAGCCAAGAAATTTTTAAAATGCCGAATTGTCAGACCTATTGGTAATAGCCTATACGAGGTTGAAGACCTTCAAGGAAAATCGTTGGGGGTATTTCATGCCAAAGATTTGAAACAATAGTTTCAACATCTTTGGTGGTTCTAGTCCCAACGATTATACCTACTCCTAGCTCGAACCAAAATGATAAAACCTATTTTATTTTCTGTATTTTGTATAAATGAGTTAGTAGATACTTTCTACACAAAACATTTTGTTAATGATATTTTGCCTTGATTATATTTAACACTTTGTTTTCTTTTTTAGTGAAAGCCTACGACCAGGGAAGTTCATTTGTGTTGTGGAACAGTAAACAGTCGTGATAGTTTGCCCGTTAACGAGTAGTTCGCCGAGTGCTCAACCAGACTAAATATATTAATTTTCGTTTATGACCACGTTGTGATCGTCAGACGCTAGTCATAATGCAATTCCGTCATAGCACCCTTTGGAACCATGCACTCAGGGTTAGGAATTATTAGTCATCTAAGCGCTGACTAAAATTTGGCAATTTGAATTGTCTGGGAACAAAGCTGGGAACGAGTATCCAACAAGCGTTTCGGGTAGAAACACGTGAATTACTCGTTAACAGGGAAATCTATCACTACGGTATGTTGTTCTCACAACACGAACTATTCCTGGCAAAATAGTTTTTTCTAATGGAAAACATTATGATCTTAACGATCACGAAATAAGGCAATATATCTATAGTTTGCTTTTAAATCTAATTTAAATACTAAATCTAATATTAGACTAAACAGAATAACTTAAAATTAGATGTTAATAATAGAAATTTAAAGTTTTCACTTACCGATTAAAATTTTCGTTGATTGGAGAAATTTTCCTCTCGATCTTACAGTTGGCTGGTATTGTTGATTTTCTTCAGGAACCAAAATTTGATGATTCAACCTGTGAAAGGAAAAACAAAACAATTAGTATTTGGTCTAAAGTAAATTTTGATGATACAAGTCATTTTCAATATCTAATCATTTGATTTAGATAAGTTCAGTATTAGTTAGTACTTACTGTTTTAGAATAATAATTGGGTTCATATACCGCATTCAAGCTTCCGGTCCAGGTCCAATCTGAATTTATAACCTGTGGAAGAGAAATAAAATATAATTAGTTGAATTAATTTAATCTAGCTTTTTGTAATCTTCTAAAAGGACAAACTGAATTCCAAGCTAAGATCAAATCATTTTTATTTATTATTCCTTTTAGAAAATTACACTTTATATATATATTTTTCTTTTTTTTTTCAAAATAATTTTATTTTTGAATATTTTTACTTTTATTTCCGGAGAAATTGTAAGGGGTATTTCTCGCCAAAGTCTCTAGACGTTAGTCTATGAGCTTTGGTGAACTTAGTCCTTACATTTCTACCAAATTCCTACGATTAAGTCGTGAATATGAAGAAAAACTTAATATAAGTGAAATTATGTTTCATTATATATTATTTAGTTTTAGGATTATTACTTACCTTTCCTGAACGGAAGCAGCAACCAAGGCCAAATCCCAGGTCCAATTGAATTTTATTAGCTGAAAGTAAAAGAAAATTTATAAAATTATTAATTTTGAATTAAAGCAAAAAGATATTTTAATCGGAGAAATAATTTTATTTTCACTTTTCTTTTATTTTATCCATTTAGGATTGGTTTGATTTTTTTAGAGTTTTCTTTATTAATTTTTCTTTTGTTTTGGTTACAAAAGGTTTTGGTCACGGTTCACTTCATTTTTGTTTACACAAATAATTTTGTTTTAAATTTAACTGATTCACAAATTCTGATGGCCACTGTAAATTTTCAAACTTTAGTTTCCGTTGGTCTCGCTTATTAGATCCAGTCACTAAAAATGTTCACTTTTTTTTTACACCCACTGTATTTGAAGAAAAAAAAAATATTTCACTGTCACTTCACTTTTTGTTCTCACTGTATCTTCCAAATTTAAATTTTAAATTTTTTTGTCACCTTTTCAGAACCACTCTAATTTCTTAAACAATTTTCTTTTTTCCAACTTTTTTTCATTAAATTAATTTTTTTGTCCGAACACTTTTGACACTCACTATAAATTCCGATCAAATAATTTTTCTTTAACATTTTCACTTTTAATTATTCTACACGAAACGATTGTTAAAACTTTTTCAAGTATTTTTTTTTCCGTTTACTTTTTACACGCACTGTAAATTCCAAAATATTTTTTTACCCGAATTCACTTTTTCCAAAACCCGAACCGAAATTATTTTAAATTTATTCAATTTTTTTATTTTATTCGATTAAAATTTTTTTTTTACACGGCACTCACACTTTTGACGCACACTGTAACCAAAATTTTTTTTTTTTTGCACCGAACCACATTTTAATTTTCACTAAAGTCCACTTTTTATATTTCAAATATAATCCATTACACTTACCTTAAATTCCCGGAACCACCTTAATCCCTAGTCCACTGGACCATCTGGAACAAAACCTGAAAAATTTAAAACAAAATTATTAGAAAATTTTATATAAATATTTATAATAATTTCCACATTTTTTTTTTTACTTACCATTTCATTCTGCTTCGATCCGCCATCTTTCAGAATCGGCCATCAAGTTTTTTATATAGGCCCAAGGCAGCCAACATGATCCCTGTAAAGAAAGAAAAAATTTGGTTGTGTTAGTTAACAACACCACTAATAAATTTTTCTATCACTATGTTTTTGTTACTTACCTTATTTAAAATCCCCTTATACGGCCATAGAAATCCACCAGAACCTGTAAAGAAACAAAAGAAACAATTATTATATTGTTTTAAACTATTTAAATTAATACTTTTATTATTTTATTGTTTATTAACAAAAAAATTACTTACCTCGTTGTATCCATTGATATTTTTTTTTGTTTGGGTGCTTCTTCTTCACCCACGCGTAGTATTTTTCTTATTTGCCTCCTCCTCTTCCATTCATTCAAGCAGCTGTTCACAGTACGTCGCCGCCTGGCCAGTTTTTAACGGCGGTACAGAGTTGTACTTTTGTTCTCGAATGAATAAGGGTTGCCATAGTGCAAATTTTTTGTATGGGAATAATAAATACCCAAAATCCCAGAAAAGTTATAGGGCATTAGGGTAGTTCAGAAATATTAGGGTGCTTTTTTTTCCCTCCCATCCTGTATCCAGGGATGGATAACAGGAGTGGTGGGGTTTGTCGTGTGCACCCTGTAATAGAGCTACTGAATAGAAGAAACTTAAACAGGTGGCAACACAATGAAAAAGGGATTTTTTTTTTTGGAAAGAAGAAGATGAATAAAAACAAAAACAAATAGTTTAAAAAAAATTTATGTAGGCAAACAAATTGCTGAAAATTTGTTGAAGCCATATTGGTAACCGAGGTTTCTAGATGCCAAAAGGAAAAAATGTCGGCCCTTTTTGATTTTTGCTCGGAGAGAAGAAGAAGGTGGAGTCTGTGGCCTCATCATAAAAAAAAAATAAATTTTTGATTTTATTTTTTATATAAATTAAATCAATTTTATTTAAAAAAGAATTAATTAAACTTAAAGCTAAACTTAAAGCTAAACTTAAAACTAAACTTAAAACTAAATTTTAAATTAAACCAAAGCAAAGCACAAACCTGCAAAGCCACTTCAACACCGACTCCATCCAACGAGGGAGAAGCTGTTTTCCAGCACCACCACGCCTGGGGTGCTCTGGTATAATTTTTGGTTTTCCGACCTTCTGTGAGTTTGCACCCGGACGACAAGACGGACCGGACGAGTGTCCTTTTTAAATAATTTTCTATAAAAAAAAAGGAAAGGTTAGACTAAATAAATATAATCCATTCCGTTTTCGTTTTTTTTCAAACGTGCGCGAACAGGGTTGAGCTCAGGCCTCTTACAAAGTAACGCGTGATTTTGAGATCTCAGGTGGTCTTAGCCATATATATTTATAACAAAAAAACTGTGAAAACAAGCAAAATTATTTAAAAGGTGTGTTAACTTAAAATATATTTTCAATTACTTACCTGGTTTACCCGAACGGACCCTAATACGGACGGACAGGAAAGCCTCATCAGCCAAAAGAACTCTTCCCGCTCTATAATTGCCTCCATGTAAAGCAGCTAGGTTGCCGCAGAAAAAGAATTGCCAGATCCGGTTTATCCCCGAGCGCAAACATAAATTTGAGTGCATATAGTTAAACCTCAATCCAAACCTAAAACTAAAGCTAAATTTAAATTCTAAATTTAAACCTAAATTCAAACCTAAAACTAAAGCTAAATTCTAAATTTAAACCTAAATTCAAACCTAAAACTAAAGCTAAATTTAAATCTAAACCTAAAGCTAAATTTAAATTTAAACCTAAAACTAAAGCTAAATCTAAATTTTAAATTTTAAAACTTAAATTTAAACCTAAATCTAAAACTAAAGCTAAATTTAAATTCTAAATTTAAAGCCTAAATATAAAACTAAATCTAAATTGTAAAGCCTAGATCTGAACTTAAAATTAAAATTAAAACTAAACTAAATTTTAAATCTAATATTGTTAAAGTTTGTTTGAGAATAATTTCGATAATAAAATCCAACATTTATAATGTTTAAATGAAATTTTTTAAAAGTCTTAATCAATTAAAATGATCGGTTAAACAATATAAGCGGCGGTAAGTAGGGAAAGGAAAGTTTGCAGGGTAAATTTTGGGACATCCCTAATATTAGGATGTCATGGCGGGATTATCCAATCCCGAGTGGGAGGGTTTATCCTGGCACAACATCTGCCAGCCGTTATAGGTCGTAGGAACGTTTCATCAGGGAGACAGACAGAAACCTACTCGGTGCCCCTTTATATTTTATTTCGTTTATTTCTTTTAGCTGGTATGGTTTTTATGTGTGTGTGTAGGTGTCTAGAGTGGTAGCAAGAACCACCCCCATCCGGCGAGCTCCAAGCCCGGCGAACGCGAGCATACCAGCGCCGCTACCACTCTGGCAACACTAGTTTCTTTTGTTTTGCACAACCACTACACTACATAAATGGCGCCCAACGTGGGGCCCGAGTAGGTCCATATCCTGATCTTTTGTTAGTTTTCTAATCCTATTTAGTCATGACTACGTAAGTCCTGTTAGGTCATACCTAGAGTCCCTAATTGTTGCGACGTCGTTGGACGAAATAGTAAATTTAGTTTTTACTTTTCTCCATTTCAATAGATGGGAAGCTATAATTGTGCATGGTCAATATTGTACACACCTACGTAAGTCCCGGACAACAGGACAATTTTAGTCTAGTTCGCGTTGCGACGTGTGGTGTGAACAATATGGTCATGCAGAATTATAGATTCTTCAGCCTATCCTTTCCAAACAATTTGAGGCTCTCAGAATAGCTTTCCATAGCATATCTGAGAATGCTCAAGTTGTGAAGAAAGAATAGCTAAGGCCAGCCCCCTCTTTTACAATAGTCCATAGAGTATTTGTTTTAGAAACATGCGTTTTGTCCGCAGTGAAGTAGTAAGGGTAGTCCTACAGGTTCTAGGTTATCAAACCATCTTCTAGTTGCACCTTTAAAAGTTTTTCTGTGGGAAACAACTACTAAAATTTTATCCATTTTAATTTTTTCTTGTCTGCATCTCCTGAAACCAAAATAGAAAAGAAACAATTAGAAACGTATCTACGAACTTTAATACATTTTTTACATTACCTGCAAACTTTACTTTCCTGAAATACACCGCCGATAGTAAGATTTTATTAATTTGAGATTTCAAGATTTATCTTTGGTTCTTTTGGATTTGGATTTTGAGTTTTTTGTAGAACGTTTTAGCTTTGTCGTTACGAACGTTTTGGATTTAGTTTTTGAATCTTTACTTCCTTTCTTTAGAATTGATTTTTTTAGTTTTCCTTTGGGAAAGAGGAGGAATTTCTTCTAGTATTTGCTAATATTTATCATAGAGATAAATAGTTTTTTTACTAGCGGTCTGTTATATATACGAATCTTCAATTTGATATTTTATTATATTTTGTTATTTTGGTTGAGTTTTTATTGTGGGGTCATTCCGCCAACTAGATTTCTATTCATTAAGAATGGTCTTAACTCGCTCGGCTAGGACTCGTGTACAAACTGAGCATAATAATATTTCCAATATGGAGAACATTACACGCACGACTGCAGGAACTGTAGTTCCTACGGCGCATCCGACGTATACGATTGCCAACACAGCTACGACAACTACTACCTCGGCATCGACCGTCATGCCGGCGGTCCAACAATTAATGTCTATGGCCCATGAACGTTCTGGGTTTTTAAATGAGTCTGCCATCTCCAACAGCACGATTACATCGCCTGACTACAGCAGTATCACCGCCAGGAATGTGCAACAAGAGTTCCGAGCAAATGTCCCGCCGACAGCTCCTCAACCTGTTAACATCGTCACCACAGGAGGCGATATGTTTACTTTTGTGCGGGAGGAATTGCAACGGCAAATACGGCAGTTGCGAACCGAATTGCAACAGGAATTCGGCAATGCTGCTGCTCCAGCTAATCCGCCGATATCGGTCCTTCAACCAACGGAGCCGCGAACATCTGTTCGGCAGCCAAATGCAGTGTTTAACCATCAGCCTGTAGAGCAGCAACCACCTGTTAGGCAAGGAAACAATTTAGTAACGAATCAACTACATCAACCTCAATTGTACATACCTGCTAGTAATTACCAGTTGCAAAATGATTTTCAACCAACCCAAGGACAAGCATCTAACGCACAGCCGCATTATGTACCACCAAATGCGAATCCAGTTTTTCCAGCACCAATTCAATCCCACAAGCTCCCAGTTGGCCTACTGACGGCGCATTCGCCGTTCAAAGAAAGGTGGATTTGTCCAAATGGGGTATTAAGTTCGACGGAACCTCGAAGTCCATGAGTGCTGAAGATTTCATTTTTCGAGTAGACGTTCTAAGACAGGACTACAACTGCGCGTTCAATGACGTCCTACGAGGTTTTCATCATCTGCTAGAAGGCCAGGCGCTGGACTGGTATTGGAACCTACGTAAGTTAAGGCCAATACAGTCCTGGGATGAGTTGGTGGGAGCATTCCTTACCCAGTTCCGAAGATTTGAGAACGAGTTCCAGTTACAAAAACAAATTATGGATCGTCGCCAAATGCCCGATGGAAAGCTTTGAAAGTTTTTACAATGGTGTGATGAAGCTAAGAAATCAACAGCGAAATCCCTATTCAGAACGAGATCTAGTGGAGATTATGAAAAGTAATCTAAAGCCGTCATTGTCACATCTACTATTTCCGTGACCACTTCTAGTCTCAATGAGTTCTGTCAACAGGCGAAAAGAGCTGAAAATTTAATCACCAGTCAGAGGCAGACTTTCCAGTCTAGACAACCCGCCCCAGCTCGAGTCCATGAACTCCAGTTTGGAGATGAAGTGCCTATACCAATCCTCGAAATCGACGCCTTAGCCACTAGTAGCCGGTATATTTGCTGGAATTGTAAGCAGCCAGGCCATAGTTTCGTGGATTGTCCTTCACCTAATAGACGCATATTTTGTTTTAGATTGTGGTAGGGATGACGTGTCACGCCTAAGTGCCCTAAATGTCAGGGAAACCTGAAGGGGAGCGAGTCCACAACGGGGGAGACTCGTTCAACCCTAGCTTAATCCCGGTTGACCATGGTATCGAACACTTTAGACCGTCTAAAATTCTAGTTAATAATGCACGCATAATGCCTGCCGTATGAACAACCTAAAGTTCATATAATTAAACCGCTTCATCAAAGAATTCGGGAATACGCTGAAGCAAAATCTAGGATTTTTGGGCAAGTATCGAATAGAATTCCGAAGATATCTAGACTTAGGTATAAACATTAGAAAAGAAGATCAAGAATGAAATTTGTCTACGAGTTTGTCTGAGGGCAAGGATGCTAGACTTTATCTAAGATTAATATAAATGGTTGTGAGATTGATGGTCTGTTAG